CTTCCGGAATTATTTTCACGATCCCCTAATAATTATCATCATATCTTTTATAAAATTTCTGGTCTATTATTAAAAGTTGGATAATAACATGGTTTGAATTAGTTTTCAGTCAAAGAGACATAAATGTTATCTTTATCAGATGCTGTCACCATCTGATAAGTATTTCGGGATTTTTGGCTAGACACTGGAAGTGTTCGCTTGTGTTTAAGGAGTTAATATTAGTTATTGTCCATCTTAATTTAAATGTGATGAGATAATAAGATAGAGGAACAGAGGTGTTCGTCAGATACGCTGGATTTGTTACATGTCCATCACAGATTTTATTTATTTTTACTGTAAGGTACAGTGTTGTATTCTTCCATTTCGTGTCTTATCATACTGTTTATTTATAGATTAAGAGTTATTTTTGATAATTCCTACAGAGATTTTGGTTTCTGCATAAAGTACTGTTCATTGTTTTTCATATTATACTTTTACCTTATGCATAAAGTCTTTCTTCATTCTGCAGTAATATGATGGTTTGGTTAAGATACTGTTTCTAGCTTGTTACATATTTATTAACTCAATGTGTTCAATATAAACAGTCCTTTGTATATATTGTATTCCATTTTGTTATGTGCTAGGTTTTGTTGAATTGTTTTAAATGTTGTTGTATTTTATTGGGAGTGACTTCATAAGGCTGTTCTACAATTACTAATAAGAAAGAAGTCAGTTGCATTAATCTTATTGTTATCCAGTTTATGATACAGTAGCAAACTCTTAATCATTGTAAAAGTATTTTTCAACTAACACACAAATTACTCAATTTCTGTCTAAACTTTAAGTTTTATATTTGTTTGGACTAACATGATTTCACTGTGCGTGTGTGGTAAATCTTCTAAAATGCTGTTTCATATGGTAAAATTTGGCTATCAAAACAAACTTTCACAAAAACGACACTAAGAACTATTTCTTTAGCATATTAATAAGAAATAATGTACACATCACTAATTTTGCTTTTTTTTACTACTTGTTTTTTAAAACGTGGGTTTTGTTATAAAGAAATATTCATGGCTGTTTAACTTGTGCGATATCTTTTACTCTGCGTCTGTGTAAACATTATTTTGTTAAACACCAGAGCATAAATTCTGACTAATATTTATTCCTTGCTAAAAGAAAGCATACTTTACATGAAGAATGCGTTTTGTTGTAATATAGGTTTTTCAATATAGATTCCTGCAAGTTTTTTTCTTTGAATTTTCAAAGTGCTTTGTTTTCTGATCACTTAAATTGGTGTTTTATACCATTCAATGATTATAATAACCATCTATTTGTAAAGGAACTACAGATGGGAAAAATAGAAATTAAAGATGAACTTCTGAAAAAGAAGCTTCAAGTTCAGAAGTTTCAAGAGCAAGGAGACCACCTACAAAGACGATATCCAGACATGAAAGATGAAATCAGCAGACTTGTGCATTTTTTAAACAATAAATTAAATGTTTTAGAAGACAGTGTAGTACCACATAAATCTCTACTCTCAGAAGATGAACTTTTTAATGGTTTGTAGCAGTCTTTAACTATAAGTTATATAGTAATTTGTATAATTTTTATTCGGACAAAATTTAGTGTCTTGCTTTGTTTTTATTAAGTTGGTAAACAGCTGAATATCTTGCATTTTGAACCTTTTAATTAATCTCCTCAAGTGGCCTTATAGAACTTCCTTAAAAGATGCACAACTTATTCTGAAATATAACTAGATAGTTTAAAAAAAAACGTTTTTCCCCTACCTTATAACAGTAAGGTTTGTGGGTTTGAATAAATTGTTGAAAATTAGACCCGGGTGCTTATGGTTAACGACTGTGTAGAATCATTTTTTTACTGATATTATTTTACTATTCGTTGAGTACTGCTTTCAAGTAAAGGTGAATTCAAATATTGTAAATATTATATTTATTATTATGCCACTAGATGGCACCACAGCCTTATATATATA